GGATGTCCGTTAGTATTTTAATTTTAGTTTTTTTTTTACTAATCCAAATCACTTGAAATTTGAGGCATGTGTTCACAAAAACAAGTGAATCTTTGAAAAATATCAAAAAATATTTTACATAAAATAAATTGATCAAAATACCCCCAAAAATTTTCGACAGGTAGTTTGGTCCTTTTTTTTAACGAATATTTTTTTTATATTTTTATTAAGTGCGCCTTGATGAGAATAACACACAACTAAAATTTCAAGTGATTTGGATCTATAGAAAAAAAAAAAAATTCAAGCACTACAGGATATCCGTGATCATCATGTTGGCTTAGATTCATTCTGGGCCGTTGGGCTCATATGTTTATATGAGCTAGTAGGCTAGTCTCATCATTTTCCATATATATATATATATATATATAAAAGATTTCGAGTGACAAAAAATAGTGCATCTTGCGAAATGTTATCTGGAACGTTCATTTTCAAGCTTTTGAAGTGTTTATATATCTGTTTGATTTGAATTCTTTTGGAGTTTGAAATTTTAAAACTAAAGATAAAATAGATTCTCGGGCTATCTTAAAAAAATTTAACACCAAAATTACAACTCATGATAAAATTTAGAGATGCATCTTACTTTAATTGTTTAAGGTCACAAAGCACACCCTTTAATCTTATGGATATAAGAGAGGAAAAAAAAAAAAATTCAAAAGTACCGACTTCCATGATTGCGCATGTAAAAAAACTAAAGTTAAGGTTTTAGATATGGCTATCTGGATGTGGACACAAGACCTTAACAATGGACCCCAACAAATGCGTTTTTGTTGAAAAACATCTTCAAACGCAGACAATTTTTTTATTTAAAAAAACGTAGACAAATGCGTTTTTGTTGAAAAAAACGTAAACAAATGCGTTTTTGGTGTAAAAAAACGTAGACAAATGCGTTTTTTTTTTATTTAAAAAAAAGTAGACAAATCCGTTTTTTTTATTTAAAAAAACGTAGACAAATGCGTTTTTGTTGAAAAACATCTTCAAACGTAGACAATTTTTTTATTTAAAAAAATGTCACTCTTGAAAAACATCTTCAAACGTAGACAATTTTTTTATTTAAAAAAATATATTGTTTAAGTACATGGACAGATGGACTCACGCAGTAGCATAAACCATTTGGAAAAGTAGAGGTCTAATGGACATCAAAATTTTACATACATGTAGATCTCAACTAGGTAAAAAAAAAAAATGGAAAAGTAGAGGTCTAATGGGACATCAAAATTTTACATATGTAGATCTCAAAAAATAATAATAATAATAATAATTGCTTATAAGAAAAATGAGAGACAATGAGTAACATTTTAAAGAAATGGGGCCTCAACTAGGTACAAAAAAAAAAGAATTCGTATAAAAAAAATGAGAGACAATGAGTACCATTTCGAGAAATAGGACCCCTCATTTGGTGAAGGCGGGTCTAGGTCTTCAAGAACTCAGCGATCTTTTTTGGAAGTTATTTATTTTTTAAATTCAAGATGGACAAAATTTTAGCTCAAAAATATAGGACTAGCTGTAAACCCCTTTATAGAAATATTCCCTTTTGTTACAACTGGGGTAAATTTTTTTATTAATCTCACGTAAAATAGTCACGAATTGCCTCTATTACAATATATCTCTTGCTTAATATGGATGACGTTTGTATAAGGTACCCTTTTTATATTTCGAAAACTTTATAATGTTTGAAAATATATTTTCAACCCTAATTATAAAATTTAAAATTTTTAAAATATTACAAATCGAGCAGATCTATAAACAGTTGAAAATCTTGAAAACCGTGGTCCAATTAATTTGTTACAAGATGTATTATTTTTAAGACTTGAAATTCTTTTTTTCTTCATATCCATACGTCTTGAGATCGAAATCACTAAATTGAAATGTTTCCAAACATAAGAACACTCCCTTTTAGAAAAATTTTGAACACCTTACTTCAATAATATATGATTGATAACTCATGTAAACTTAACGTTCGAACGCTAGCATATGTATCTGAGAACATATTCTCTCTCTCGTGTTTAACTAAATATTTCGTCCAAGCACTCAGCGAGGCTTCTGCTAAGGGGTACCCTTGACCACTGGCAGGTGAAAATTCTCAAAGAGTTTGAAGTTCTGGAATTGGAACCTAAATTTTTTTTTTGGGTAAGTCAATGGAGAGAAGGCTCCCTACCCGATTTTTTATTCATAGAAAAGGGATAACACGTTATTATACAACCTTATAATAAGGCAGTTGCGCCAAATCATGTAATAAAAAAAAACAAAAAATAACGATTACGTCAAATTACGGCTCTTGTATAAAGCGATTCTAGAGCATCAGCTTCCATATTCACCTCACAAAAAATATGAGCAATAGACCACCCATGAGGCGATAACCTAAAACTTTACCTATATAGTAATATGTGATATTATGTTGTATAACCTGTCTGGAGTTATGGGAATTGCTATATGCCATGTTTGATTGAAACTAGAGTTTTAGAAACTTGGAGATCTAAAAGATAGCCTTTTTTCCTTTTTTTTTTTTGAACAATTAACAAGTTGGCCTTTTTTTTTTTTGGAACAATTAACAGTAGCTATCGTTAGAAGAGAGCAAAAGCTCCATAGTACATAATAAAATAGCGAGCAATAGCCTATACTGCCAAAGACGACCAACCCAAACTTAACATCCCTGACCCATTAAGGCCCTGTAGTGCAAGCAAAATGACCCCAACTAAGCATACCCAAGCAACTTCCACAAACCTCAAGAGCTTCGACCTACACCACTCAAACCAAGACTCGCACCAAAGACCCATAGGAAGCTCCATCCCATGCACGATATCCTCTCGAACCGGGGTTGAGACTGCGAACCAAGCTGCACTTGTCTAATGACGCCCATAAATAATACATTAAGATATTAGCAAATTTTAACCGTTCAATAAAGTTTCAATGACAAATATTTAACGATCATACATCTTTAACATAATCGACGGTTTAGATCTCACAAATATAAGGACAAATGATTATTGTTTTGCATTGAATTTCATTTTTATTTTCTCGTAGCACATCCATAATAGTACACAAAAGTAAATATGGGAAATATAGAACTAATTTGACAATCCTCTCTGTCTCGATAAAATGCACTCTCGCTCTCTCTAAATAAAATGCAACTCTCGCTCTCTCTAAATAAAATGTAGACTCTCTATCTCTAAATAAAAAGTAGACTCTCTTTCTCTCTAAAATAAAAAATAAAAATATATATCTCTCTCTCCAAAACGGACCCTTGGAGGGAGAGGAAAGCTTTAGCAATTCTCTTCATCTCTCTATCTCAACAGGAAAACCAGGTTAGCACAAACTTCCCACGACTTCTCCAATCAAATCCGATGACAAAATCAGGAGTATCCATTATTCAACCCCCAAATAAGTGCCATGTGATATATTCTTAGTTTATTTTTTCTGAATAAATATATTCTTAGTTTATTTGTTTCCAATTTTTAAAAAATTGAAAGCATTCAGTATTCATTTTTAAATTTTATCTTTTGTACAATTTTTTTAATTTTTGCAATGTTCCGCTTTTATATTATGCATTTTTGGTTTCTAGGGGCTTCTACGTTTTTATTTTTCAAAAAGCACTTCAGACTTGAAAATGGAAAAAAATTATTTTCTTTTTTGTGATTTTAGTGTTGAATTTTTAAGAGATTTTACAATTTTTAAAATCTCTTTAAAACCAAAAAAAAAAGAGTGCAAATTATGTACGGACATTATTGGGAGGGATCAATTATCAAATGGGCACTCGTTTGCCCAAAATTACGAACACCACCCCCCTCCCGCTATAATTTTTTTCCTAAGTGGCTTCCCTATCCGGCAATATGAAAATTGGATAGGGTTTTTATTTTGGCACTCAAGAGAATTGTCGGCAATTGCGTTGTCAAACAAAGGGATCCAAAAACACAGGCGCCAATTTAAACTTGGGTCAATTTGTTGCGAAATACCAGACAACTATTTAGACTTTCTAAAACCTGAGAGGCTATTTCACTACTCTGGCCAGTCCATTTTCTCCTCCCTCTCAAGTTTGATTTCTCTCACATCCTCTCTAAAGTTCTTAGATTTCTTTATCATCTTTCTATGTTGGATTATAAGGAGATGGGCCTTGTGGCGAGCTCTTCTCCATTTTATAAAGAGAGAAAATTAGTCTGAGAGAGATGGGAGCTCTTCTCCATTTGTATAAAGAGAAAATTAGTCCCGTGAGATAGGAGAGGGGAGCCCTTCTCCATTGTATAAAGAGAGAAAATTAGTCCTGTGAGAGAAGAGAGCAAAATGTTGCCCTCATTTTTGTTTTTGCATAAAATGCATCTTCGTGACGCCCTAGCTCCATTATCTCCTAATTTTCTAGACTTGGTTGCATTTTTGGTTTTAAGGGCTGCTACAATTTTTCTTTCGTAAAATAACTTAAAAACCAAAAATGAAAAAAAGTAAGAAAAATTATTTATTCAATTGTTTGTATCTTTAGTTTTTGATTTTTTTGAAAGGCTCTTAAAATTTTCCCTATCTTTTTTAGAGTTCTCTTTATTTTTCATAATTTTTTAATTTTTTAAAAATTATTCCACCAGTCCCACTGGTGAACCAGTCTGAACCAGCCACCCTGAACGGACCAGTGTGCTCACTGATTTAGCGTGCTCATTGGTTTAGTCGGAGAGTATTGGCGTGCAGGGATAGAGAGCATTTGAATTACTCGTGGCATGGGATTATCATGGCCTCAAGGGCATATTTCAGAAAGTGACTATTAATTGAAAGGACAAAATGTAAGAGCATATTTTACTGTAATCTACGTGCACTTGCTGGTTTAAGAAAAAAAAACATATACCATATTAATCATGTAATGGGTTAATCTTCAAGGTGGAATCTAATCCAGTATTTTAACACAAACCACAACTCCAAAAGGGTATCATCAACGAGGTGAAAGTTGATTGACGTAAAAGAACATTTTTTTCATTCGAGTTTGAAAGATAACTTGTGGGATGATTTATTGCATATACGTCCATAAATTACAGACTTAGATTACTTTTATTCATCGAAAAACATGCACATCCACAAAAGAAACAGTGGGAAAAAGAAGAACATATCTAGCAAGGATCAAAACAATATTTACCACCCTAGAACTGGAAACTTTCAAGCAAACTAGATAATAGATTGGCTTATGGCTCCTATGTATAATTTCAAATGGAAACTGACCTCATAATCTCATTGAATAATACTAAACATTTAATGGACAAACTCTAGAGGAGTTCACGAACACGCACTGGCCTTTTAACAGCATTTGTGAAACCCTGTATAACATATCCAAGAATTGATTCAGGACTGAGCTTTTTTCCTTTTTTGGGGCACAAACAAGAGTTCAAAAAGTAATATTAGATACAGAGTTAGATAGTTTAAAAAAAAACAAAGAGAGAAATTTTCCACAGTCCATACCTCATTAAATTTGAATAGAAGGGGGCGCGAATCTCTTTCTATAGTTGCTGATTGTGGCAAAGATGCGTCCGGACCTTGAGACCCTTTGCAGTTTGATTTCCTAAACCTGATAGAAGAAATTTAGCGTAGTTAAAGCCAGAATAAGAAAACCAATCAACCATATAATGTGTGTAGTTTGTGAGAACCAAAAGTAACATATCCATCAGTCTGCATGCCAATAACAATCTCATTAAACAAAAACTATCACCGTTAACATTCTAAATTTAGAGTTAATTTGCCCTGGAAATTAATGAATTGACGGAACAAAAGGCAAGTTTTTACATTTTCTTTTCAACAGTAGCAGGGACAACTTAGCTAAACAAATATTTGAGTTACGGCCGGTGCCCACATTCTTTTAAGGTGATAGTTCTTAGGTAGTTTAGTCACCTCTTCTTAACTTAGACATCTACCTCGGGAAAACCCTTTCAGGTTAAATACAATTGGAGTGTTAAAAGTGTGTTTCCAGTATTTTGACATTTGATTACAACATAAATAAGATATCACAATAGAATATATGAAGGCATTGAAAAGGTTTGTTTTTTTTTTGGGGGGAGAGAGAGAGAGAGAGATAGAAAGCACCTGTCAAAGAAATTGGAGCCACCCACAGGCTTCTTTGCATTTCCAGTTGTCTTAGTCATGAGCCCAACTGCCTTAACATTATTAGATATCCCACCATGAACATTCTGTTGTCTTGGTCTTACATTTTCTGATTTTGCTAGACTAGTTTCTACAGGTGAAGCCGCATAACTAGCTTTGGTAGAATATGATTTTGCATCTCCTTTACTTGGAAACGGCACGCTTTCATGAACACTGACTTCAGATGGAAGTTCAAATCTACTCCTGTTTTCACCCAATAGTTTATGTTTCTCAACCTGCAAAGAGGCTTTGAAGATATCACAAGGGATTATGCTTACTGATGCATACATGCAGTAATTTTGCTTACAACCCACAAATATCCTTTCACAAATCATAATTTTCTTTTTTCAGTGACATTTAGGGCCTTGGGAAATAAAGGTTGCATGTTCAACTGTGAAACGAAATAAAGGATACAAATCATAATTTTCAAGTGAAAGGCTCGAATTCAAAAGGACATAGTTGGAAGTGGTGAGAAAATATATGGGGACTTATGGCCTCACTAAGGGTATGGCCCTTAACAGAGCAGAATGGCGGACCAAGATTCATGTAGCCGATCCCAATTAGTTGGAAAAAGGCTTTGACGATGATGATGATGATGATGTTCAACTGTGAAAACATATCACACATTATCTTTTATTTTATTCAAATTACAAACGTGATTCTTGGCACGTAAACTTAGGAGCTATGTGAGGCAGATTGCCAACAATACAGTTCATATTAAAATGAATAAAATAGAAGAATACAAAGTACACAATGCTAAACCCATGCATGGAAAAAACGTACACCACAAAAATTATCAACTGTCGGACAGGATCGCTTGTATATTCTAGCTAATACGATATCCAAATTTGACCTAATCCTCTTGGAATCCCAATGAGATGCAACTTGGTGATGATTGCCTTTGATCCACAAATTGTTTATTGTATTCATACTTGCCCTTAGAAAGTAGAAACACTTCATTCTACAAACAAAATAGACAATGATCCTAGTATCAACCTTTATGAAAGGTGAACCAATAGACTCACCTCATGAACCAAGATCTGTCTCACAGCTAAAGGGAGGATATAGTGCCCAGGATGGTGGTCCTATAACAAATAAATTCAAATATTAGAAATGTTTCTAGTAGCATGCACAAATCAAAACGAATTTAGTGATGCCATACCTTAAATTTCATGAAATCACCAAGAGGAGGATCTAAACAAAGTGTCGAAACCTCAGTAGCCGCATATTTCTGTGTACCCTCTGGGGGATCAACTTTTCCATTCTTATATGTTATTGAATAAGAAACCATTGTTTCTACTACGTTATTCACATGATCCCTCTCTCGATCAGATAATAAATGCATTGCAACCTGAAACAGAAAGTGTGAAGGAAATTTGTAATACGAAGCAAATGTCAGAGTAATCCCAGATGGTTCCAGTCATGTTCCAGTCATGCATAAAGAGGGATATAACTGAGTCATCCAAAGTTATTTCCCTGTGATGGCAATGCACCAATGCCTTTAAACAAGTGCAAACAATTTGCAGCTTGGAGAAAATGCAAGGACCGGAAGTGAATCAATCACAACAAGATATATTCCGTATTCAAATATCTGAGCACTTGACTATTGAAAACAGCAAGCAATATACATTTCATAAGCTTTTACATATCAATGAAGTTGTACGGCTTCTCATAGAATAAACAAATAATCCACGACCAGTAGAATATGGTATAAATGTACTTTGAAGGGGTCACAACATCCAATTCTGATAACAGACAATGGAACATCAACCATGTCGGAGCAAATATTTTGGTGGGCCACACTGCACTTAACCTCTTGCGTGAATCATCAGGAATATATGTGGATGCCCCGACAGATTACCATATTCCGCACATTATTGAATTATGATAATTTAGTCAACTTAGATATTGGAAATCTTGACTTCTATCTTCTAAACATAGGGCAGACCTGCCATCCAAGCAAGAACAGAAAAGCATTGAAGGGAAGTGACAATAAATTCCTAAAAGTGGTCTGAACAAGAGCAGATCAAAATATTAGTTTTACACCAAGCAAAAATGTCATAAATATTAATTAATAGAGCAAGGCAATGTTAAGTCAGAAGCTTATAGTAATAGGTGCAAGATGAAACTTTTGATTAGGTGCCAAATATACTGGATCCCATACCATGTTATCACAATTCGTGATTACATGGGCAAATAATGCTCAGATAGCAAGAATAGTTGTTGGAATAGGGATCTGGCTCCAGATTGGGATCGGGAAAGGGAGAGATGGATCGTGAAAGGCAAGAAGCTCCCTAGGGTAAGGATTGCCATTCTTATACCCTAAGATATAGGGATCTTGGTCCCCATATGTATGGGAGCTCGATCCCAATATGTTGGAGATATGGATCCTGATATGTGACAGCTGAGCTAAATATGAACCTTGGGCTTCAACTTAGTACTAATATTACTGGAATTCTTACTTTCTCAGTATTAACTATTAAGTTGAACCTTAATTCTACTATACTATACTTTATACTAATATACCATTGATGCCGCATTTAAACTTTGACGGGCTATGCTCCATAGTCCATAGTCCATACCAGTGTCATAGAAACTATTAAAGTTCTAGTGATCTAGTATAGTACAGCATTATACAAACTAAACTGTAGTGTAGGACAGTTACATTAGTAGCATAGGGACATTTATCAAAATACTCATAAGTGATCAACTATTGAACATTTCACCCATATTTTTTTATTTAATTTCAAAATACCCATCAAAATACACATGAGGAATAGTTGAAAAAGGGTAAGTTGTCAATTTGTTGAAAAGTTAGGTGTATTTTGATAAATTTCTCAGAGTATAATCAAGTGAATATAACATATTGCATTACACTATACGTAGTATTTAGTATATAGTATAGCGTAAATGAGTACATGATACAATATAGTATTTGAAAACCCTGAAGGGCCAATAGATCGGCTATCCAAAAAACTGATCCCGAGCGTAGATCAACCAAATCAGCCCGATCCAGCTTTAAAAAAAATTCAAAAAATTAAATTGCTATAAAATCTTTTTTATGTTCCAAAATAATATTCACGTATTATTTTACAAAAAATACATGAATATAGAGATACCATTTTCTGTCTGAATGTCTTTTCATCATTGCATTTACATCACTTGAAAAAAGGAGAATGCAATCATCATGGATATAAATGCATGGTCCAAAATGGAGCATACAATTATGAAAAACATAATTCTGAAATGAAAGAAGACATTGTTCTTCCTCTTCATCATGTTGTCTCCACTCGATTGGGACAGATTGGCCTCATAATCATCTTTTCTCTCACCCCCTCTTCCTCCTCCTCCCCCTCCCCCTCCCCCCACCCAACCTCCTTTCTTTTCTCCTTCAAGATGTACAACATAAGAATTTCTCATACATCCCTGCTCGTCAGCACCTTCTTTGTCATCTTCCTTACTAATTGTCTCAAGCAATGCTCTCTTATATACCGTTGGCTTTTCTTCTTACACTACCCACTGCTCAGTTGTATCTCCGACAAATATTCCATTTAGGTCGACTAGGTTGTACTCCTTAATTTTCCTCATTATTGTTGCTCTCAAATGCTCAAATTGTAATGAATATAAACTAGTTTTGAAGACTCTTTGATGTCAGTCAATTCCTTATTGAAGAGCGAAACCACTAGTATGTGCACCTAGTTTCATTGATTGTCATCCTCTGTAAGTGAAGTGTGTCATAACGATGTATCTCCCACCATTCAACTAAACTGAAACTGCAAAAGAGCCATGTAAGAAATGGGCCAAATTATTTCACAAGGTGAAAGCTGTGAAATAATGCCTAGTTAGTTAAGACATAAGAGATAACCTAGTTCTCATTGCACTATGATAATCCCTATCAAATCTAGATGCAACTGAGTTTCTACAGCCCTATAAACAAAGTTGAGAGAAAAATTGTGTCTTGGTGCTTTAATTAGACCTTAGAAATGCACCAAGTCCATGAAATTCTTAAAATTAAGGTTAATATTTACCTTCCTCAGTGCTTGTATTTGATTCCTATGGCTTATCTCCAATGATATATCTCACCCCCTCCATGATCTTATTGAGAATATTAAGCATCAAGTAGAAATATTTGGGGTGGAAGTAGAAACCTAGATAGCACAAAGATGGAGAGACCATTTAAGTTTGCAAGGACGAAACATTTTAATATTTAAACTTCTAAAAATATATTTTACCAGCATAGTGAATCATGTGGGCCACCTGAATATTCCACCTTCTCTCAATGATCTCTACCACTTTAGAGGCAAAACTTGCACTTCTCTAAAATAGCCACCTTCTCCCTCTCGATCCCTTCCGAGAGGCGCCTCATAGAGGTTATCTTGTCAGCATCCACCAACTGTAAAAGTGTCACCAAAGGAGTGGTGGCATCCACAATCCTAGCACACCTAGACCAGAACCACTTATCGATGACTATGCTCTCCACTTTCACTCCCTCACAGGATTTTGAGAGTTGGAGTTTTATCCACTCTTCATAAGTGAACAACCTCTTCATTGCAGCTTGCTATTATAGAATAAAGTCCATGGTCAAGTAGCATGTCGTGAAGCGAGAGAGGGAGAGCTGATTAGCTCCTTATTCTCATATTGCCCCATCAAGTTAAGGATTTTGGCATAGTTGTAGATGAATTTCGTCGAATTTCGTCACTAACTTTACGCAATCCATAGTCTCCTTCACAACCTTGATCTCGCAAGTCTCCTCTAACATGATATCCATGCAGTGGGCAGCTCAGAGCGCCCATATTAGATGCTTCCTTTTGAGCATCAACTTCGACCCCAAAGCAACAGATGCCCTGGCATTACTGGCAATAATCTGGACCACATGTTTTTCTCCCATATCCTGGACTATCTACTCCATTACTTTTGTTAGGAACTTCATTTTTTTCTTCATTGTTTTCTCACCCTTGTGACCTCTCTGCTGGATATTAAGGTCATTCTACGTGAGTAATAAACCAAAATGTTCAAATAATCATTTTGAATGGCCTTGTCCTTCTAACCGTGACTCATGATGACGACACTCGCTCTCAACTAAACCTCCTAAAACTCCCCAATAAATTTTTGAACACCCTACACCTCTTCATCCAAGATTGGTCCACTGAGCTTGTATGCCGCAGGGAGCATCATCCCAAACTCCCTTCTGAATTGCAGTGATCATTGACTAATATGCTTTGATGGGGATCCCTTCATCATAGAAAGATTTTCCAATAGCCCTCTTCACTAGGTGCCTTACACCTATAATCATGCTCGCAGAGATGTCTATTTGTTGCGGCCTAGGCTTCGAGAGGAATGGGGCAATGCGACCCTCAACCATGGGTCTCGGAGGTCTACTGTGTCCTCACGCACCTAGCATGCATGACATTAGCATTCCTGGATAAGCTAGGAGTAGTTTCCTCGAGATGTGATTTATGGGACGAGGTTCCCCAAGATTCCCAAATGACCCTTCTGTTGCACTAGAACTAGTACCAAGTGCCCCTACACCTCCATACATGCCCATAATTGCGCCTTACAAACCCATGTTGGGCCTTGCCAACATACTTGTGTCGACCCCTCCATACATGCCCATGTCTCCCTCCATGCATTCTCATGCCGTACACACCGTACATACCCATCCCACTCTTCAATGGTGCACTTCCTGAAAGCTTACTCTCATCACAAGCTCTATGTTGAGGTTTGAATCACTCATTTGCACCCATCCCACTTGATGGCACATAGAGGCTTGCAATCTCCTTGTCCATCATTTGGTTGGCTATCTTCTTGCCGTTGTTAGCTTTAAGAGCCGCCATTTGCCTCCTCACATTGCTAGGAACATCAGAGAAAGTAGCAACCTCAACCCCAATCCCTGCTAAGCACTGCGTAAACCAATTTCTCTGTATTTATCCCATTACTAATGACCCTGTGGCAATAGTTGCACACAATTTTGTCTTTTCTTGTTAGATCCTATCTAGCCGCATGATGCCATGCAAGGTCTTCTTTATGTTGAGACATGGTGAAAAAAGTGGAAACTATTATAAATAATAGGACAAAATATTATATCGATTCCACAAACAATAACTTCGTACTTTATTGTAATGTTATAAAATCTTGTTCACTAACATTCTATTTGGCAATGTTCAAAAATGCTGATTCAGGCGCCTAGGCGTTTTGGGTGCCTGGCCGCCTAAGCACCCGCCTAGAGACCGGGTGCCCTCACCAAAATTGAAAACTAGCCCCCTTACTCCCCCCCCAACCCTGAAAAAATAAACGGGGGAGTTCTTAGGGCATGGTTTTAAGTCTTTGGGAGTTTTTAAGGAAATTTTAAAGCCCCAAACTCCTCATGAAATAGACAAAAATGTATTAGTACAATCACATTACAGATTGACGGATACAAGACTCAAAGAGAGTGTAACTTGTAAGACATTAAAATGCTTGAAATCCCAAATATTATTGTAAGAAACTAGAAATCTAGACTAGAAACGATACACAAAGTCAACAAGGCAAAATCAAAAAACAAATACATCAAGTCATCAACCAAACATGTAAATATATTGTAAAAGAAAAAAAAGGTAAAAGAAAAAACAGGAGTCACAACATAATAATATGTTGTAGCAAAATAAAATCAAAACCCTCTTTCAAATATGATAATACTTTAAAAATATCAAAATCAAATCGATGTCGGTGCAAACTTCATCTATTGAGTCCCTAAAAGTCCTCATAATCAACTACTAAAAGCTCTAAATCCACCCACGAACTATTGCCTATGTTTTAAGAAGAAATTGAAAAAATCAAAACTTTATCGATCGTTCGATAAATCACTAAAGAGTAGCTTTTTGGGGAGTTTTTCTCGCCCTAAAAGCCACGGTTTTTGTTTTGGAGGTATAGAATATCCCCAAAAACCCTTTTCTCCCCTTTTTAGTGGGGAAAATGACATTTTTTTTTACCCTCGCCGAGGGTTTTTTTCGCCCTTCTACAAACTGTCACTAGTCGGGCGCCAAGACTGTAGCGCCTAGGCCGGCGTCGAGAGACAGACCGCATGATTCCACCGTTCAGAGAGTGCCTAGGTGTTTTTTGAAATTTTTTGCCTAAGCGGGCAAGTGAATTTTCGAACACTGCTAATTAAATATTGTGAATATTCCACTTAGATATATTCTAATATACAATACAACAATTATAATTTAGTATTACTTGTTTATTATTTAAAAGTTCATATATTCAACTGTAACAAATAAACCAATTATAATCCACAAGATAATTTAAAAATTCTTATACATTCTTTTTGGAATAAATATTAAAATTAAGAATTTCATACATTCTTTTGGAATTATTAATATTCAAAATAAATAGGATAACAGTTGAACATTAAATCAGCTTGACATAATAACTTTCCCAAAACAAAATCATTTTAACATTAGCACATGGTTATTTTCATTTTGGAACCAAAATACCAACTATAGACTAAAAGAAAAAACACAAAATTATACATTCTAATGGAATAATTTGCTATTACTATTTTTTGAAAATATGTAATTATTATTTTTAAATAAATATTCATTATTATTTTGAAAATAATTATTATATTATTAATTATTTTATACAATCAATTTTAATAAACTTCATACATCTATTATTGAATTGTATAGCAATTACAATATAATAATTCTTAGAAAAATATTATACAGTTTATTGTAATAATTAATCAATTTAGTAATAACAAACATTTCAAAAAATTTATTTTACCAATGCATACACATGTATGTGTCAAGCAATAATCTCCATGACCAAGAGAAAATACGGACATGGCAATACATGGGCAATAACACAAAACTCCATGATCACACCATTAATTAACTTAATGTCTTATCCAAATACGGACATGGCAATAACACAAAACTCCATGATCACACCATGAATTAACTTAATGTCTTCTCCAAAACTAATTTCTTTCAAAATCCAGGGCAAAAGAATGATGCAGGGAAATAAAGACATAAATCATTAATATTTACAATATTAATAATTATTTTCAAATAACTATTACAAAATAGAACTTTTTTTTAAAATGTACATTCTATTAGAAATTTGGAATAAATACTACAGTTACAAAAAAGAACTATAAATGTTAATTATTTTAAACATTGTATTTTAATAAATTGTATACATTCCATTGTTATATTGTAAAAAAATTATAATGCAAAATATAATAGTTGTAACAAACAATTGTACATTCTATTTCAATAATTAATAAACATAGCAATAACATACTTCTTTAAGAAAGTTTATTCTACAGAGAAATAAAATAGACAAAGTAGAATCAAGATAAATCAGAAAAGTTCAAGAAAAAATAACAGACTCCAAAAACTCAAACTACCTAATAAATTTTACATCATAACATCAAAATAATGTTCATTTCAAAAAATGCGAGCATTCTTTTGCTGAAAAATGAGAATCGGGCCAAGAAAAATCAAGATACTTTGTTACGATCTTAGGTGGTTTAAGGGCCTAACTTTCCGTGTTTCCATAACCCAAGGGTTTTGGGGCTCATAAGTTAAGTACCTAACATATTTAATGAGTAAAGGGAAAAAGAATCAAATTAACAATTATAACTGCCAACAAGATATCAAACTGATCCCCTAAGAAAATTTTACGGGTTATGAAAAATTTGTTTTCTCAAAAATGATTTTTTTTGGGGCAAACCCTAAACCCTGTCAGTTTTGGGGCTATATCTATAGGACAATTGGTTTAGATCCATTAAATTGAAAAGTAGTAATGTAGAGTGATGAATGAAGCTTCATTTGAACCAAAAAAAAAAAATTCAGAATCAACAATTTGCAAATTTTCAAGAACCCGAATATCACATGAAATGCCAAATTTAATAAATAAAATATAAAAAATAATAAATACCTGCTGTGAAGAAATTAGGTCCCTTGTAGATCGCGACCACAAATTGTTAGCCCAAATACAAAGAAGAATTCAATGTTTGGCTGATTTCAGAAACAAGTAGAAGGAAACCTTAAATTCTTTCGGGCTAGATCCACGAAAAAATGGGTAAATCATCAAATTGAGCCTATAATCTTGTAGAAGGCTCGATTACGACCATTTAGAGCCAAATTTGAGAAAATTGGGTCCAAAAATGAAGGAGAATGGCGGTGTTTGACAGATTTCTCACACAACAGCAGAACAAAAAAAATAGAAACCAAATTTTCAATCAAAAAAGGTAATTTTAGGTGAAATAATTCTAGAGAAAAGCATCTAGATGGCTCCAGCATCCAATCTACGGCTTCTTATAGCCCTCAGATCAACAATTTCATTGAATTATTGATCTGCAAAAGCTGGGAAAAGGGAAAACCTCCAAACAAAAAATGCTTTTACTATAAAATCATTGTTTGACGATCCCTCCAAATCACAGTATAAGCGGACCGCCAGTTCTCTGACAAGAACCAGTAATCCAAGAGAAGATTCAACCAGTTTCCGACCATTAGGGAACCGGCCTAGCCTATAGCAATACCCAATCCTGTTTGGACGATTCTGATCTGGATCGGCATTTTTTAAACAATGCTACAAAATATATTCTATTGTAGAATAGTATACCACATAGTAAAGTACATCGTATATTATAGTTTAATGTATAGTACAGTAGTATCACGTATATGGTTATATGGTATGGTAGTATAAAGAATATTAGATTTATAAGAATTTATGTCAACAACTGAACACATGTGCTTCTAAAACTCAATTACATCGTAAAAGAATCTCAATCCCATGCTGGTGGAACCTCAATCGGTTTACCCATGAACCTTTGGATATGATGCTAAAGAATATAGATACAATGCAACTCAGGATCTAGATCCCTAATAGGAAGGATCACAATTCCAAAGTTTAAAAAATTCTAGTGGAGCGAGGTCTTGCTCCTTAGAGCACAGAAGAGAGCTTCGACCCGCAATGGACCCTTGGTTGGGAGATCCCAACAACTATGAGCAAGATCTTACCCATATTACAGTAGTCAACACAAATACACTTCCAAGAAAGAGATCACCCACAAAATCACAGATACCATAAGAGAGCCTATATTATGTGACACCTGATTCGAACATGAGACATATGATATGGATCATAGGACAGGCCCACAAAGTGATTCTACTAATTTTACCTCGAACTATGAGCAATATCTCAATGCCATGCACTATAATACAAACAAAATTTTGACATCCAGCCGTCATTCACATCTCCATAATTTGTAAATTTATATTTACTAACGTTATTCATTTGAAACTCTTCAATGCATTCATATCATGCTAAAATAGGATATGATACAATAGAAAGTTAAATAAGACAAAATAAAGCTTCTAAAGGAGTGAAGGACAAATTCAAGAACGCTTACAGGCCTTAAAGTTGGCGGTGATAGAATATTTAATAACAAAGAAGAAGCATCTTGTACAAATGATTCAGGTGCGAAGTGCCTTGATATAGATGGTGAAATTTTGCCAAGCCAAAGCTTCAGAAGATCCTTCTTTTCCATGGAAGTTACTCTGGATCTAATCAGTCATGCATAAGAAACATATTATAAATATTTCTAAAATGGAAAGCACTAGTTAGAATTAAAACAGAAAACTATTTATGAGCACAAGGTACTTCGAAGTGATTTATAGCACTCTTCATTTGAATTAAGGCAGAAAGTTATTTATGAGGAGGTACCTTTGAAATGACTTAGGCCACTCAATAGTTGGTTTCTCAACCTGCGCAATAAAACTTCGAATAGCTATGGCCAGTGATGCTTGATAAGCTACAAGGTTCACAAATCTGTCATTCTATCATGAAATTTATGTAAGCTGTTGTATATATGAACCACATAAGGAATCAAGCAGTTACCATGGAGTGAAAACTGTTGGGTCCGTAAAATTCTCTGAATAAATGAATCAGAAACTCCAAGAATATCAAGGCATTTCACCTTTCAAGTCATAAGATATAACAATCACACATCACATAGGATAACAAAAACTATAAAACCACATATCAATGAAAATAAACATTCAAACTTGTACTATAAAGACTTACAGTTTTTTCCATCAAAGCGTCATGATAATGCAGATTTAGAAAGTTCTCGTAAATCCCATCCATAATCAGCTCGTAGTCTCCACTAAATGTCAAATTTTGAGCAAAGCCAAGTCAAATATGAAATAATGATAACCTATACAGAAGTAGAAATGCCTATCATGAAATCCCATCTTACTGGTTTGAAATGAGGTCATGAAGATGATCGAAATCCTTGTGTAAATTTTTACAGTCATTTCTAGTAGCCCTCTCAACTTTCACTTTTCTCTTTTGGAAAACCTGCAAAATGTTTTTAGATGCAAAGTTTAACCATAGACGATGTAACAGAATTGACAACAATGTATTATATATGAATGAAGAGCAAAAAAAAAATAAAAACCATTCGTAACTACAAAAACTTTACCTCCTTCCAAACATCAAAAATACTTCTCGACATGTCCTTTCGACCAATTACTTGGGACCCAATGTCTACCTAAGCATGAATGGAACATAGTTTTCAATACCCAAACGAGATCCATATATTCATAACAAAGTAAAATAAAGGGTTGAATATGACAATCTTACAGTGTTCAGATTCTCTTTCTTCTTGTAAAGAAATTGAAGCGCGTTTAGACATGAACGTATATCACATTCTGCAGAACAAACAAACCAAGAAAATAAAAAGAAGCATCTCTAAGTGCACGAAGTCTATATTAGAGAGAGGGTGGTAAAAGAAACCATCAAATCAAACATCCTCAGAATGTATTTACTAAAGGAATTGGAAAGAATATAATTAAATCCTTTTATTCACAAGAATACAAATTTTGATCGAAATTCCAAATTAGGAGGCGGAGCTTTAGATTATGGGGTTTTCCACTAATATTCTTTATATTTGGAAGTGTGGCCAGCATGATTGTAGTTCAAAGGTATAATCACTTTTGGCCCTTTAGGAAACAAACGCACTTGATATAATAGTGGGGCATCCCTGAGTCATTTATTATTTGTCTCATATGTACATTAATTGAAAATAATTCAGCTGGTTACTCTCACTTGTATGGTTGATCAGTTCTGAAGCAAGTCCTGATGCCTAAGGCATACAACTCAAGGCGATGTCAACCAGTGTACTAAAGCCTTGCGACCAAGACAAAAATTAAAGAGAGAGAAAGAGAGAATGAAACAGATAAAATATAATTTGCATTGGGACATACACTTCACAAGAAGCATAAGCAATTGCCCCCATTTCCTGGTTAGCCATCAAGCATAAGGTTCTTTAAGTTACTAAAAACGCTTCAATGTAAAATGTAAAAGCGCGATAGGAAATGAAATAAAACAATGAAACAATAAGAACCAGAGTGAATTATTCTTTTCAATTAAGGAAAAACCATACAATCCCGTATACCCCATCAGGAGCAAACCATATTGGTCCTCCTTATACCAGTTCACGGCCAACAAACATCTCTGTTAATCTTACAAGCTGTTATTCATGATTTTCTTCCAAAAAAAACACAAGAAATAATCAAAAAGGATTTCCAAAGAATTTATCGAGTTCAATTCTAGTCCATCATGCCAATGATATGCAAATCACATGGAATGGCCAATTTGATCATGTTTGGCTTAAAGAACCAAAACTGCAGTGGCAAGGATACTGCAAAATCATACAAAACTGACTCAACCCTAAACTACAAATCAAAATTTCATAACAGTTGGGGGGACCAGTCATAGATTTCTCAAGACAAAAGGAATAAAAGCGTCGACCTCAGTTTTGGTTTCATGAAAAACAACGTTTCAATTTCATGAACAATAATGTAGCACCCAAACCATCCAATTGAAACCACAGAATTGCATGGACCATGCTATTCAGAATCAATACAAAGCAGGAATTAATATCAAATTTTATAGATCAAGGATTATAACAGTAATCTATAATTACCCATTTTATCAACATAAGTAAAAGAATAAGCCTAGTTTCCAGATAAAAAAATCTGAAATTATTCTCATCATTTCTCTTAAGGCGAAGATATTCTCACAAACTAGACTTGAATCCCTTAAGCTCACCAGTATATTCAGCAAGGGCAGTAAGTCCCAACGCACTAGTCTTGAATCCCTCCTTTTTGCATATATATTTAAGCCTGTCCGAGTCATTTGTTATATATTCAGCACAGATACTAAAAAGTGATAGCTTGAATATTAACAATGTTAACTCTCATCATGTTATATTCCAATGTTAGTCTTCCGAACTATTAGACTCAATGTGCAACCATGTATTGCAAATGTGGGTACCTTTTAACCACACGACTAATGCTTGGCTGCACAAATGTGTGAACCCTGTAAAGAGCACCAAAAAAGTTAGAAAAATAGAATAAAAAAGAACAGCATATGGAATGAAATTAATATTCCGATCAAATTAAAACGACCATTGAAAACAAAATAGTGCAGCAAGAGATACAAACTAGCACTGCAAACGAATATGTAAGTAAAACAAAATATGCAAGCTCAACTAAAACAGACATTTGAATTGAACAAAAGAAATACTTACGTGGCGATTTGACGCAATGGCCGCAAAGCAGGAGTATAAAGGTCATTGCAGATGCAAATTATCTTCAAAGAAATTGCTCATCAAAAACAGAAATGAAAACTATTAAATTATATTCAACTACTGAAAATGGAAAATGTGGTACTTACAGGCCTTGAAAGTCTTGTAATTTTATTAGTTTTAGGAGATCCCTTCCTTGTGGAACTCTTCTCTGGCTGTGATTGATCAAGGATACCTCCTTTTCCTGCAATAGATTTCTTTTCAGCAGCCAACTGCAAAATCATTTGAGTTTCCAGCAGTCAAAATAATATTCATCGAGGAAAAGACATAATGTTTGAGAAATTTAGAGTTACAACATTATGAATTTCATCATTTGCAAAAGTAACGGTAGCTGTTCCAAAGGTCAAACTCAAATCAATGATGCAAGTCACTGAGCTGGCTCAAAATTATCTGAATTGGCTAGGAATCTAGTCTCTGATTCTGGATGGCCACAAACCAGAGACTCACCCTAGTTTGATAAGAATCACTTGGTTCACAAGAGTGAGCTGGATAGTTCACTATACAGACTCAGGCATTTCCCAAGTCCCGACTGATTCGTGGGGAATCAATCGAATCACACCTAAAACCCCTTCTTGGAGGTTTCTCCGCCTAAGCACAATGTTTAGCACTTCTATCTCCAAACAGGGCTCATTTGGGGCTATTTCAACCCCAAATTTGAGCCTCCTACCCTTTTTTGCATCTATAACAAGATCTACAACAATTTTTTGTCAATCAAAAAGCCATAATTTTCCAAAATTAAAAGAATCCATAATTGAGGTCGATGTTTTGTTACTCATCTCGGGCCTTGGACTCAACCCTAGCCCGAGTCGAATAACTCGAGTGAGTCCAAGTAGGCCCCTGAGTCCTATAAGAATAGGTAAAGCTGAATTTTTATAGAAAGGCAATATGGCACCTGCCTGAGCAATATAGAGGCCACATGGCAATAGAGGTGCTAGGTGAGATGGCCAAGGAAAAAGGTTTTTAAATGCTCAAAAATTTTTAGAGAGAATGATAAATGTAATTATTTTAGAGAGGGGAAGACCACTCCACAGAGAGAACTTTTAATGGCAGTCATCTAATACAGCCCATAGTAACCAAAATCTCTCACACATAGAGCACAATTTCGATTCGGATTGCTGATTCAGCAATTCCAACGAGGAATCTTCGTAGAATCCATTTCCATGAATTCAAGAATACTTATAAAATCTTGTTTCCAATACTTATTAATTCTTAATTCTGCAATTATTGAATCTCGAATCTACTTTTGTCAAATCTATATTCCAAATAGCGATATTCGATTGGATTGTTTCGAATCCAAATTCCTAAACATCAAGCACCGCGATTCTTAGATGCAAGAGAAAACGAATTAATCAAACATTTAATCCTGCTTCCACCCTCCTAGAGTCTCAATCTGATTTTTTTTTGGGAATTGTAATACCACAAAATTCAAATACTAATGTTCTAGGTGCACAAATATGTGACTTGTGGATTGGTTCAAATATTCATGGAATTTGATTTGTGTTATTTGGAAACCGGAGTCGATGTCTCCCATAGCTCATATGTGCTCCTATAGTTCAAAATCTCTATCACTCTTTATCCATGTTCGGGCTTGATGTTTAGACTTGCAATTTTCCCATGACATTACAGTCAAAATGTGAATGTAAGTCAAAAAGGAAAAAAACACTACAGTCAAGAAGGCTTGCTATTTTCTAAAAGTAATCAGAATAGATATTTAGGTTCGATTTGGAACACGTTTCTAATAGTGCTAAGAGTTGCTCGGATTACGTTTCTATTAGAGTGCTTGGATTCTCTACCCTTTTTAAAATACAGTTAGTAAAGAGTTTTACGTTCAAATAGAGTTACATTCAGGTCAAATCTCAATTCTTACAAAGTAGGAATCTTGTTTCCCATGATACTCCTTGTACGGACATCAATTCCAAAAATAAGAATCTTCAAGCCAACTGCAATTCTCATTCCTAAAACAATTTGGAATCTCAAGCGTTTCCAACAAATATGATACAACAGTGGTGGTCCTCTCATACAGCCTCTTACACATCAGTGGTTTCTCCCAATACCATTGTTGGAGCTTCTTAATGCACCCTCCTTTATTTCTTTAATACTTTAATCAAGACGTTTTTAGTGATATTCTCAATGGAGAACAGAAGTAGAGGGAGAAATAAATGAACTATAGAAGCTTTGATTTTTAGAGAGAAGAAAAGGTCATGCAATTGAAATGGGCAAGAGTTCAAACTCTTATCTCTATGGCGTCTACATGCTAGGGGACCTGAGGCAGTGAGTGACAACATTACCAAGGGTTTCTAAAAGAAATACCAAAGAGAGAACATTAAAAAAAAATGCCGAGAGAGAATCCAAGGTTTTGTAAAGTTGCAGCGGGAAATATAGAAAGCTGGTCTTCAAAAAAAATTGCATAGAGAAAGAATCTGAGGTTTTTTAATGTTGCAGAGCCAGATATAGAAAAGAGGATTTTAAAAGGAAACTGAAAGAGAGAGAGAGAGAGAGAGAGACAAAAAGAAGGGTCGTGTTGTGTCTTTTAAAGAGAGAAAAGTAGTGCCCTTTCGATTGGATTTGTAGCCTTTAAAGGCCTAAAGAGCATATAAACAAAATTAATTATAGTGGACTTCGTACTTCAATGCAAGTTTATGCATTTGACTTGACCTAGTGTGGGGCAGTTTATGGCCCATTATGTTTAAAACCCTTACCCATGGGCATAGGCGATACTGTTGAGGGTTTATTGTGGGTCCCCTAAGGTGGGAGAGATGTCCCACAATATTCTTTATAGTCCAGAAGAATTGTGTGATCTCCTGTGTACTACGGAAGGACCTGTGAGAGCGACGGCCAAATCCTCTATAAACTCCCACACAGCATGGCATGTGCATATGAAAACCGCAATTTGGCAAGCAACCTTGTATAGAGAGATACGTGTACATGTACATAGAGAGCCCCCTTGAACTATAAATAATTTTTTATTTACTCTTAAGGGGGGGAACCTTAATCCGAATACTACGACTATGGTTCTATTATCTATTGGCTAACTTTGACAGGCCAATTATGAGTCCCTGCACTTGACTATGAGTCATGGATCCCGTTGGTTTAGTTTGATAAGACAATAGTGGATCATGGATCTTGGCATGCGTGGGCATTGGAATGCCCTGTCATTCACTTGTTTTTGACCTATTAGGTACCAATCACATCCATTATGTTTTTCTTAGTGTTTTAAATTTTTAAGGACGTCAGAAATATCGATTTCAATTAAAATTGTGTTTCTATGATTTTTGCGACTTTTCATAATTTTAAAAATATTTTTATTTGATTAAAATGTGAGTGGAAACCAATTCTCTTGACTTTGATTACAATGTAGACAAATACAAGCCAATACAACTTAAAATTTTTCAATACAACTTGCAAAATCAAATTACAGCAAGATCACTACAACTATGGTGAGCTATTGACTTCCAAATACACTCAAATGAGAGGATACAACTCAAATAGGATCCCTTGCGCATGAATAAAACAAGCCATAAAAGGAGATCATCAAACTACACATGTATATTGTGCACTTGAAAATTCAATACTACTCAAAATTACAAGGCAAAATTACACATCAATAAACTCATGAAAACCTATCACAACATAATCTCCATTACATTAACATACATATGCTCAAATGTGCAATGCATCATGACCATGGGAAGCAATCGAGCTCTTGGGTGCCCGGTTTGCAGCCTTGGGTTTTTGTTATGTATCATTGGGCATACCTCAAAATAGGGCTAATTCAACATATATAAGTGGGAAGTCAAGCATCTACTGATACACAAAACATGGAAGGATTTGTAGAGATTTAAAGATCAAATCAAGTGGGAAAATCGTAGGAGAAAACCAGGCTTTCAAAACATAAAACTGGTTCAATTGAGTTCACAATTTGGCTCTCAAAATTTTAACATAGTCTCCTCTTATGAAATCAACAATTTAAGAGGTCAAGGAAAAGATCTAAATGACTAATATGATCATGAAAAACTCAAAGATATATCAGCCAAAATTACTCCAAATTCAAGGATGAAAACTCATGGAAAACTATATCAAAAGGTGCATGGATGAAGCCTTTGACTATATGGATCAAGAGAGATCAACGATGATTCAAATGATCATATATCTAATCATCAAATGATGAAGAAATGTTATTGTAATTGAGAATTTACAGCAAGGACAAACTAAAGCAATCAATGGAAATAGAAAAGATCTTACTCAATTGTTGAAGACTTGAAGACTAGATCATCCATGGCTTAAAATTGAGCTTTAGATCACTATTAATAGAGTAGCATAAGACCTTCAATGGAGGATTTTTGGAGAGAGAAAGGAAGAGGGAGTCTAGCTTTGGGCATACCACTTTTGGAGGGAAAATTGTGAAGTGAACTCATGTGAGAAATGAAGGCTCAAGGGGATATTTATAAGCCTCTAACCCTCAAGTGTAGAGATGCTTCTAGATGGATGAATCTTGGCCCTCCATGTTATCTGCCAATGGCTAAAAAGAGAGGCTTGTTCCTAGCTGACTATCCACCTCATGCCATTAAGATGAGTGGTATGGATTTAAACACTTTTCTCCTCCTCTAATTCACTCCAATTTTCCTTGTTATTAAAATACACATGCTCTTTACATTTAATAAAACGAAAACCAAGATGGACGGTATTACCCTTATGATAATTTGTCAAATATTCCAGCAAAAAGCAAATCTCAAAAGTTCCTCCATTTTATAAGAGCATGTAGGGCTAATGAAATCATGCTACATAAATTAAGTGGTTAATTGTACATTTACCATATACCCTTAAGTTTAGGCTTGTAATTAATCCTCCACACATGTGCACAAACCCCTTGCTTAAAGCACTAAACATGTACTAAAATAATTTTTTCAAAGAGTCAATATTTCATAAAATGCCATAATTCAATATCCGTAAGTTAAAACAACAAATAACGTAAAGACATGGGGGTCCCTTGTGGGTTTGACGTCACCCCCACAACATCTCCACGTGGGGGGGGGCGTGGGACCCCCCAAGCTAACACGTCAATACCCATTGGCCATTTGGGTGTCTCGTGTGGGTCCTAGATGACCGTCTTTGTTTGTCATTTCTTTCAAACAATTTTGAAAAAGAGACTTTCTTGCCCAAAAAAACCCAGAAAATTCTCATAAATCCCTAAAAATCATTTTAATGATTTTCC